TTATCGATTAAGAAATTTTAATCGGTCTTTATGATCGATACTCCGACCTGACGACCTCCGACCTCCGACTCACAATCCGAGGGTTAAAAATATAGCGGTACATATTACAATGACGAGAGGAGTAAGAAACGTCGGAGTAGTTGGTAGAACGGTTTGAAAGTGGATTACGAAAGTTAGGTGAAAAAAGAAATCATGAAGCGGGGCGTCGCAAGTGCTCGGGACTTCCGGCGTAACTTCTTGAAACGCTCGTTTCGGTACCCGTGATCTAAGCTAAGAGGCAAACGTCGTTTCGGAGTGCATCAGGAACTCCGTCCACGTTCAAATTGACAAGCAGTTCGCTAGCGCACTAAATTCTCAGGAACCTGGTTTCAGCTTGAAAATTTACGACTGATCCGAGAACGCGTGACTGCGTTAACTTTGTAATTCTGTTCGCCGACTATCGATTGGGCGATTGGACGTCGACACATCCGCAAAGGCGTCCGGAGCAGTTCCTCGCGAGTCTTTCCAACTGCAGTTTGCCTCGATTTGAGAGGCGTTAAACGCGAAAATATTGGCGAACGACGAGAGAAAGAAGTTTTGTAAGCGCGTTGAAAATTGAACGCGGCCTCGCTTCCGAGGGAAAGCCTGTTTACTACTTTGCTCAGCCGCAATGCAAAACGGTATTAAATAGAGCGGATTATTGCTCGAGTTCAGCCAGTCGCGAACCGTTTAAACATGAATTTACCGGGAGAGATCGTGGCCGAAACAAACGAACAGTTGACTAGCATCTTTTTCGCAGTGAACGTGCGGTTACTACTATGCATTTCCGGCGAATTATTTAGTGCTCGGGGCTCTTGTACTTCGCGAAATTTTGGAACGACGTTTACCCGGTGGTCGAAGTCTCGGCGTCGTGGACCGACAACTTTTACCCGGAATATTTTAGCATAATAATTTCCTGTTTGCCAACTGGACGTTTAATGGATGTTTTCCAGTCTTCCATTTTCGGGTGAAATTTACCAAAACCACTCGAGAGATGAGACCACATCGGCCGATCTCGTTCTTCTAGTTTCCAAACATATATACAAGAATATATTAAGAATACAAGAATATATTGTGAATACGCTGTATAATAATCCTCCATACGGGAAGAAAATGCGAATATCAAGGAAAGCCAATGTCTCTAAATTTTAATTAGGAAGAAGAAGAAGAGTTACGGAAGTACGGTGCTGCTGGCGTTTCCGATTTTTACGCGAAAATTTATTCCAGTTACAGGCGAAGTCTTTCGGGAACTCGCGGCGCATAAAAGGGTACGATTATATTGGCTTCGTTTGATTTATGCGTGGAGAAGCTTTTTCCCTTCGACCGCGGATATCGCGTAGTCCGTTCCGATCGATCTATTTATTAACAATGATAATGCACACCCCGTTGAACCTTCCGATAGCTTCAACGAATTCCCGATATATAAGAATGCAGATCGCATCGAATCGATTTAGCATAATGAATGAGCCACGCGCAAGGCTTCGCAACGGAGGAACCGATTGAAACAATGTCTACGGCATCGACAGAAATAAAAATTGCACGAATCAGGAATCTGATGTGCAAGATGAAAGGTGAAGCTAATAGCTTGTCACGAGAGTTGAAAGATTTCAGATTTTCGCATTATTATACACTGTAGCCCGTGAACGTCGTATTAAAAATGAATACGATATTTCATGATACTGTGTTCGTTTGATAAATGTGAAAACATCCTACAGGTGAAGCGTCGCTTTTTGGTATTCTGACGACTTCGTGTAAAGAATACTGTGCTTAATATCGTGTCAAATCTAACGTTCAACACGATAATGACCACGGCCGTTCATTCCCTCTCTGTCCCGCCTTTTCGTCCCTTGTAATCTCTGCACGCTCTCATTGCGCCAGTTCAATCTGACTATCATTGTACGACAAAAGTCCGTCGAGGTTCTGCCGCACGATCTCGTTGATCCGATCGAGAGAGAAAGAGGAAAAGAGAGAGAGAGAGAGAGAGAGAGAGCACTCTGTCCCGAGTGCTAATAATGTCAGATGCAACGGGTCACTCCATGAAGTGCATCGACGCATCGATATGTGGAATAATGCGAGACTGGAAGTCGATCCGAGCTATCGTATCACTCGTTGCCACTTAACATTTACATAACACCATTTTTCTAAGCTTTGTCAGCAAGATAATTGGAGTCGCATAGAATAAATCGATACGAAGTAACATTATACTTCGTTCGTTGATTCTATTATAAGATACAGACCCTTAGAACATAAATTTTGATGAAACACTGCAACATACCTATTCAATTATTGTGTTACACGTCAACCTAAAACGTTGGGAGATTCAATGAAGTGTGGCTGGTCTTACTAATAACATCTTCTTCTCCTTTCATGGTGGCAAACTCACAATCAGTGTTTGATGTAACTCTTACTGAAATACGTAAATTCGAGTTTTAACGAGTGGGAAACGTTTGAAGCGGAACATATACGCCTCGAAAGTTACATATTTAATGTTTGAATCGGGTAAACGTAATTAAAAGCTCTCTGCTGAATTTTTAACTCGCTCCGAGGAAACGTTGAACGTTCACAAAACCGCAAAGTATTTTTGAAACATTAAATTAAAACGCGTGTAAAATGGTCTCTCGTGAAATAAAAACAGTTCTCATGCAACAGCGAAAGTATGCATATTTTCAAGTAATTATTTCCACCACTAAAGAATTATTTTACCATTTTTACGATCGACGGACTCTTTACTTTGTGTAGTTTCAATCGGTCTGATATTATGAGAGGAAACACGTGAGATAGAATTCGCTGTCATCATGATTTCTAAAAATATTTTTTTCCTATTCGCATCGAGAAATTGCTTCACGGCCGAAAAGGGAACGATGCAGTTTTGAAAAGTGTCTTCGCGTCGAATATTTACACTCTGATATTTGTACAAGTTCCTTTCGTCCCTCGCTATTTGCGAGGATCGAACTTCCCTGAAACTAGATTCCTCGCGAGTCCGGTCACGACTCGGTGAGTTACGAGAATTCCTTCTTGATTCGTTTCGCCGGCGAACTTCCCCGCATTCAATTTCTTTCTCATTACTCCCATCTGGTACACTCGCGAATCAGTCGACTAATAATAATTCGCAGACGAATGCACTCCCCGCGATCAACGAGAGGTTCTATCATCGTTCTTCAAGTCCTTCCTTCGTTTTTGTTTCGCTACTTCCTCGCCACTCGAACAGATATCGGGCCGACGTCTCCCCAGTTCGAAAGTTTGTTTTGCAAACGAACTCGACTTTCCTCTCATACTGAAACCATTTCTTTGATCCACGTCTCCGACCCCCTCTTTTGTCAATGAATCGAATGCGTTGTCATTTTTGACAAAATTCGAAGTCGAACGGACATCCCGAAATTTCCGTTCCACAAGCGTTGCGAAACGACATTTTATTTTCTGCCCGAGGCGTTTACTCGAAAGCATTATCTCGTGCAGAGAGAGCAAAGGCGGGAGTACGAGGAGCTAAAGTTCGTTATGAGTTTGATAGAACACAAGGTTCCCTTCCGTTCCCCCAATATTATTTTTTAATAAATTTCCCCGTCAGACGTAAATTTTGTAATAACAGATATAAACTAAATTTAATATCGCTCTACTTCGTGCTATAATCTTGGCTAGACTCACAGCTGAAGATAATATATGCTTGGGAAACAAACAATTCGTGGGAACGAGTTCTAAGAAAAATATACGACTTAAATCAGAACATATTTCGTGCCAACTAACAAACGGCTCATTATTCTCCTTGTAGGGTATTAAAAATTCAGAATGCAACGTTCTACTTATGTACAACAAAAGAAATTAGATTAGAGTAATTTAATACCTTGAAATCATATTCGCTTTCCGTCATGTTTCCACAGCAAAGTGTTTGCTTATCAAGTCGACCGCTAGCCCTTTACCTTCCATTACCTCCCGTTTCATATCACCCACCTCGAAATCTTGCTTTCGTCGTAAGGTTATAAAAGAATCTCCACGTCGCAAAGGGTACTATTTCACATCAACAGAGAGTTTTGATTGCACGAAAACAAACTATTCTAAATAAGGATTACTACGAAAAATGAGCCTTTCAATGCTCCATCATGGCCGAATGTTTGTTCGTCGCGCGATATTTATTCACACTTAGCTACTCCAATATTTGTTCAATCACCCTTTGAAAGGATGGTAAATCGCAACAAAATCGAGCGGATTCGAAAGACGCCCGGCGTTCTCAAAAAGACTCCGACACCTTTTTGTACGCGGCATCGAATTTCTTATGCAATCAGAACGCGTCTCATACGACTGTACACGTACATATATGCAACGTATAGCATGTCGCTTATCTGAAGCGGCATTCGCATTCACTTACCGGCAAACTGAAGGTAAACAGCAAACTTTGGAGCCGAGTTCGATAAATTTGCACATCAAACAGGAACCGCAAAAATTTCCCAGGTTACTCCGCGTGCCGGCTCGGCTAGCTTCAACGCGCGTTCCTCCCCATTTTCTTCTTCATTTTTCTCCGCGACTTCACACTTCGTCTCTTCGTATCTTCGCAGCCAATTTGACCGAGTCTCTACGCAAATTTGAATTCACTTCCACATTAAGTAGTCGAGTAGCTCGAAATTCAGCTAGTCACGTAACTACGCAGCGTCAACCGTTTTTATTGTCGCTATTTTCAATGTCACGTGACTTTCGGCCAATTAGAAGCGGCGTTAGTTCGTAACGTACGAGGGGCGAGCGTCCCTTCGTTCCTATCACAGCGAAAGTGTAACTTCGTACTTACCTCGCTGGAGAAATGCAAATTCGCCGAACGTAGAACGCACGCGGATATTAAAGAACAATGGTTAAGGGCGTTACGAATAATACTTTACGTTACGTCATGCGGTCGCGTCGAACGGATAGGGCAGTACATACATAATTTGGCGGCGCGGCGCACGCGCGGCGGGACGGGTCCAGGTCAACGATAAGAACCCGGTCTAGTCGTACGACGAACGTCCAGGCAGATCGTCGGTGCTACGAAGACTGCGAAGCTCTGCCGGGTCTCCTCTCTCCTCCCTCCGACGCCTCCCCGGCAACCAGCTAGGGAAATTGAAGCAACAGGACGAAGCTTTTAGAACGACCGTGTGTGGTACGTGACTCGCTGCACAGTGCACCGATTACCGTGAACATAGCGTCGCTGGAACTGTTCTCAATTCATCGATCGTACGTATCGATTGCTTCGAGAAACTATCTCTAACGGTTGAGCCGAAAGCGTCTCTTCTCTGTTTCGGTTCAACCGTTGCGTGATTCTACTGTCTACAGATTGGTTTCAAGTGAATTTGTGTATACGAAGTACAATTATTACTTTAAGCAGGGCAAAGTGCGAGCGGGGAGTCGTGGGTAACAAGTGCAGGTAGCAGCGGGTGATTCTCTGTTGGGAACGTTCGCCGATCGGAAGCCTGGACGAACACGAAGAGGACGTCGAGTCTGGCGAGTGAGCAGATCGGTTTGTTTTCCATCGTACGTTTACTTCTCTGTACAAATATCGATGGGGAAGCCGGTAGAACATGCGGAACTCGTTGGAAACGATTCTGTTCGTACTTCGTTCGCAAGCGCGCGGGGAAGAAACCAGTAGGGGTCGACGCACTTGTTCCGTTTTCGCTTGTTGTCAGTAGTTGGACGCGCCGGGACGCGAGTGATTAAAAGTAGTGTCCTTGCAACGTTTACACGTGTACGTGAAGAACGCGGATTTGAGTGATGCTCCATTATGCTGTTCCTGAAATGATTCGGCCATCCGAGGATCGACGATCGATCACCGGGCGAAGGAATTCCTATGGAAACCGGCGGCGTTCCGTCACGTTTTTCTATGGTTCAACGACGGCATCGCGTGTCGCGGCTCGAACAGGTAAGAGAATTTCACTGCTCCTAAACCTTAATGTTCTCTACGTCGAGGTTACCGTCCACTTCTTGAACGAGAGCTAGACGGTGGAGGGAAGGGTGTAAAAGCGTGTTAGCTGGAACGGTAAAACGGAAATTGGTTCGTATCGACCTTCTCCTGCTTGTCGATGAGCAGCCTACGAGACGCGTGTTCGGAAAGGATAGGCCTGGAGTACTCGGGAAGAAACCTTTGGTTCTTCTTGCCAGACGATTAAAGGAATTCACTGAGCATTCGTTTCAGAATTGCTCGAATCGCTTGTGTGAGTATAATTACTGATAGCTAAAATCTTTTCTTCGGTTTGATTTAACACGGTCATTATGGTAAGACAAATATATGCATACATAAGTAACGTTGGAGAAATGGTAGAATGACAATAAACATAGTGATAAGGAGACAGTGCTTATAAAATGGGAATAAATGAATATGTGACTCGGTGGTAACCCGATATTAGGCGGGGAAAATGAAAGGGTTGTTAACGATTGGTCGATGTTCACCTCGAAAGTGATGGATGTCGAGGTCAGCAATTTGCTATAAGATATACCGCGCTGATTATTAGACCGCGGATCTTATGCAAATTCATGTTTCTGTGTACGAAAGAGAAATGCGGCAGAATTTCTCCGCGACGATGGCACCTGCAATACATTTCGCCATGTATCGGACACGTTATTATGGTTCATTAAGGCTCGTTAAAACATGTATTTTCAGTTTTTTCTCATTTTTTTGGGAAAACGGGACAGGACAATTGGGTTTGATCAACATAATTCTAATTAGAAAAGTTCTTCCAATTAACCCAAAACTAACATGGAATTATATTTCGTTCGGACGTTGGTACATGTATTTCCATCGATTCATGTGCATTACTGTAAATTCGAAATAGCAGCGGTGCAGGGCACGTAGTGACGATTATTAAATATTCAGTAGCTATTACTTCGGCTTTATCGAAAGCTAGTAAGTATGAATATTATTGTGAAATCGTAATGGAGTACATTCATATTTAGTAATTATGTCGTCAAAAGAACTTACATTGTGCAAATACGGTGCTAATTATAGTCCGTGACACAACAAAAGGTATTCCTGAATGTTTGCAAAATTGATGACGTATCTTGCATTGAACGAAGGTACGTTCGAATGAACGATAACGTTTCGATGTTCGATTGATTCTTCGGGTTGGAAACATTATTGGAAGTTTGTGAACTCGATTAAATGGAACTTAGTCGTAGAAATAAACGACCGATTCTTATTGCAGGCTTTCTCGATGTTATTAAAAGATGGATCACGTTAGAAACTGCGCGTGGCGAAATGTTCTCTGCGGGATCCAGTTTGAATCTATGCGAGGGATTTGATCATGCGATAAACGGTAGTAATCTGAGTTTGACCCTTTCTGTGTACACGGGAGCTTGAGAAGTAATGGAAATATCATGGTAATGCTCCATTATCAATCATCCCGCCATTGTAAAGTACACGTTATACCTTCAAGGCCGCGGCGAACGCAACGCTCGAATCAATTCGATGATTGCTTCTTGCGTTTTCTGCTGGCGAATTCTAAAAACCGCTTGTCAGATTCAATGGGCCAGTTTATATCCTCATAATCCCGTGAGTAGAACACTGTACGTTCGGTCAGACCTTATTCCATTAGTTATTTGGGTTAATTGAAAGCGTTTTCTTCGCAAGCGTATAAGTATATTAGACACCGACAGAAATGTTTATCTCATCAAATTCGACTAATTAATCTTGTCTATATAACATTGGGTGGGCGTTTCGTTAACGTTGGGATCGAATGACTTAATCATAGTGATGTAGTTCGTAATTAAACCTGAGAAGAGCAGAGAAAACTTTATCATCCTATAGTAGAACGATGAATGGACATCCCGTAGAATGATCTTGTCCAGTGCGCGTCGGTGGTCTGTCTCTTTTCACAAAGTTTGTAAAATCGTGAATAATTCAGCGACCGTTTCGAAAGAGAGGCGGTATACACAGGAAAGCGGTGGGTCGAAACAGGCGAGAGGAGAGAGAGATTTTTCCTACGGGGTTCGGGTTAACGAGATTTTATGAGCGATGAGGGATTATCTGGTTAAAAGAATGAAACCGGCTGGGTGAAGTTAAACGTTTTCTTTCCTCATTTGAAAACGTAGACGGTTCGGCTCCTTTCGGGTCACTGTACCTCGGGCAATTGCGCGGAGCTTTTAATTAATCGTCTGCCTGTCCATCAGAGACGCGTACGACATTCAGTTCTTTTTTAAACTTTACGAAAGGGAAACGCGAAGTAAAATATTTATGGCCCGCAGGAATAGTTTTTTTAAAAGGATCGTAAAAATATTCTCTTCGTTTTCCTGTTTCAAATGAAACATTCAGGCTTTTGGTCGCCTAACAAAACGAAAATAAGTAGTTCCATACTTTGAAAAATGTATATGTAAACGTTCGTTTGTCCTTTGGCGATATCGCTCGACGACGTGAACGAAGAGTTTAATGTTCATTAGTCGTAGTCATAATATTGGTGCGTATCTCGATTCGTTATCGCGTAATTATGTTCGCGAATATGGAAGAACGTGTTGCCCAGCTCGTGTCGTATTTGGAGAGGAAATATTTAAGCGCCAATTCTATCCGGAATGTATTTTTGCTTCCGACTGTTTCCCCCCCTCGTCGGGACTGGCCATGCTCTCTCCTCTTTAAATATCACTTATCTCGGCGGTCCGCGTTCCCCGGGAAAAATAACTTTTTCCCATCTGAATCCCCGTAATCTCGCGTTTTCGCTTAACCGCTCGATGATGCTCCCACGCTGTTTCGTTTTGTTTGTCCAGCTCGGCCCGGTGCCTGCCTCGTCCTTTTTCCTACCGGATTTCCACGGTTGCGCATTTCAAAATGGAACGTTACACGGGCATAAATTTAATATGCCTTAACTACGAGCAGCAGAAAATACGTTTCGTATTTTCGCGAACACACCGGCGCGGACCCACGGTTGCAAACGACGTGCACGCCGGAGGATGGACTCACTCGAGCTTTTTTGAAGGCTATAACTACATCTGTACGTACTTGAAAAAGTAACATGCGACGTATCTACCTACGCTCTTTAATAATGCCTGCTCGGAAATAAAAGAAACGTTACGTATACCCTGGTCGAATGTACTTCGAAACTTTTATATCGACTCGGTGGGAGTTCGAGTAGTTTTCAAATTATTTTTCTTACACGATTCCGCTTAATCCTAAGAAAATAAATCATGAAAATGATGAATCGTTCGAATTATTATTCGCAACGACTCATGGTCTCGCGAATAAGTTACGGTACGCTTCAGGCATTATAAATTTCTAATCGTGTCTCGTAACGTTCTGTTCATTTTTTAACAATCCGTTGTACTCGGACGCGCCGAGTTAGAAAGTTGAGAACGTTGGTATATCTTCGGCGAATTACTTACAGAGGGAAGAGCGCCCGTGGACGCGTTTGTACTGCGTGCATATAAACATGGCTCGATATCATCCGAAAGCTCTATAGTCCTCCGGTTACAAGAGCGCGAGTCGCAAATACCTACCGAAGTTGAACTTTGTCCATGTAGAAATATCGTTCCGTGAATCCCGCTGTTTATCTTTCCCATTGATTACTAATAGCAGCGCCGGGCATATTCAATGCAATCGACAATCAACGATTGCGACCGAAATGTTTAATTCGCTCGACGCAATTAATGATTAAAATAGGTATTTAATCGCAAATTGGATTAACGTTTAACTATCACGATCCTCTTCGTTCCTTTTACGTCGAATAGAATTTTAATCGAATTTTAATTAAAGGAAAATGAAGCAACAGTACATGTATATTTAATCGGAGATCGATATGTTTGGTGATCGAAAACAGATAGTGACAGAGAACATTGTTTGAAAAATTCTATTCCGCTGCCTTTGGTAAGTGATAAGAAAAGGTTGTTAATAAGCTTTGTCGTCACGGTCGATCGTAAAATAGGCGTTCCGTTTTATCCGTCTTTTACGTATGAAGAAGTCGTAAAGATACATTGGCAAAATAAAATAGATAATACGAGTTCGAGCAAGTGTTCACGTTTTGAAGATCGGTAGGCGAGTGTGCATATGTATTGTTCTCGAGCATTACTTAAATTTCTGTCATATTTGTTTATTGCGAATTCTCGCGTCCCACGTAAACTTCACCCATTTGCATTTCGCTCTACCTTTGGGCGCGTTCAACTTCAGTCGCGTTCCATTTCAGATTCCGAACGATCCATCCTATTATTGTGTCCTCCCAGGCAACACGTATTCCAGAGTTGTGCCCCTGGAATAGTTGTGCTCCTTATGGACACGACCGCTTGATTACTTTCGCTCACATTTATTTTTCGATATCTACGTTCAAATTATTTATGCGGCGAAAGTATTCTTCATGTCTATTTTCATTACTTAATCTGTTTCAGTTTAATTCCGTTGCAGATCCAAGTAGATTCGCAAGTGAATTCAATCTTCTGTTTTAAGCTCTTGTATTTTAAGGTGGCACATTTGAATTCTCTTAGCTGAACTTAAAATACTTCGAACTTCATCATTCATTCATTGTTATAAAGGAGTATCACTCCGTACCGTAGAGTAAAGATTAATCTGTCCCGAGTTAAACTCTGAGATGTATCTATTAAAATTTAGCTGACCCGAGTGTAGTTATTCTTAGTCGGGTTCGCTGACGGAAAATTTTTCCTCCGTTATCTCGTTTTCCATCTGCAAGCAATATTTTCTTCCACTCGCGCCACGATTATAATGAGCTCTATTATTCACGGGGCGTTTAAGCAAACCTCCGTATCAAACCCCTTCGCTCTGGTCTGAGTGGCCTGTTATTTTTTCAACGTTATCGCTAGGGATTCTACCCGGCGAATTCGTCCCCCTTTTCGTTCCCCTTTTCGTTCCCTTGGGCGTTATCGTTGCCAAACTATTTTCTCGGCCATTATCACGTCGCGGCACGAGCATCAGATTCGGGCGCCGTTTTTCCG